CGCACGGGGTCAGCCGCGCCGGGGCCTCAGCGGGCAGGAATCCGGCCGGGAATCCTGGGACGAGGGGGGAAAACCTGCCAGGACCTTCCAGCTCTGCCCTGCCAGGACCTTCCAGCTCTGCCCCACCTGCCAGGACCTTCCAGCTCTGCCCTGCCAGGACCTTCCAGCCCTGCCCTGCCAGGACCTTCCAGCCCTGCCCTGTCAGGACCTTCCAGCTCTGCCCTGCCAGGACCTTCCAGCTCTGCCCCACCTGCCACAAACCTGGGGGTTCAGTTCCCAGGTCCTGCTGTGCAGCTCCAGGTGTGAGGGGCAGCAGGTGTGACCAGCTCAGCGCAGGGAGCAGGGTTGTCTCCCTCAGCCCTGACGTGCTCACTGCTACCACCTGCCACCAACCCCCCCAGAGGGTCCCACACACCCAGTGTCACCCCCACAGGGTCACCCCCTTGTCCCCAGCCTGACTGCAAAGGACCTTCCCTCTCCAGCTCACCCACGGAGCCTCCCTCGAGCTCTTCAGAGCCACGTTTCTCCAACAAGTCCCAGAAAGGGGTTCTTTTTAGGAGCCTGATCCCCCCTCAGCCCCTTCCCCAGGCAGTGACCACAGCTGAAGGAGCAGAGCTGTCCCTGTCCCCGGGGGGGTCACACACACCCCCCTGCAGAGGCTTTAAGAGCAGCTGCTTAATTAACTGAATGACCTAAAGCAGATAAAGCAGCTCCCCCTCCTCAGGGGCCCAGATCTCACCACCAGCTCCAAGTTCCAGAGAACTTCTCCTCCCTACTGACCTCCAACCTCTACCACAGCTCAAACATGTCACTGGTGGGGGAAGACTAAAAAAAAAAAAAGAGAGAGAAAACTCAGCTCTTGGTCCTTGGTGTTTTGAGGAGGCACCTGAATCGTGGGACCTTGGAAGCAGCTCTTCTTTGTGAGGGAAAATCCAGCCCTTCCCTCGGCCCATTTCGTTGTGCAAAGCACAGGAAGGAGGTTCTGAGCCTTTTCTACCAACTTTCAGGTGAAAAAATAAAAGGTCCTAGAGCATTTCCAGCAGCAGCAGGGGGTGAAAAAATACTTTGGCAGCTCATCTGGAAGGGACGTTGTGGCTGCCCCATCCCTGGCAGTGTTGAAGGGCAGGTTGGATGGGGCTTGGAGCAGCCTGGGCTGGTGGGAGGTGTCCCTGCCCATGCAGGGGGGTTGGATCTAGATGATCTTTAAGGTCCCTTCCCACCCAAACCATTCCATAATTCCATTATTTGCTTGACCAGGGCAATGCTTTTTGGGTGTTTTTCCAAGGATTTGAGCTGTTGAAGGACAACCTCTTCTATTATCCCAACTTCCCCCTCTTTTCCTCCTCTCCCACCACCATTTTGTGACCCCTTCTCTTCAATCAAGTGTCCCTTGGGCTGGACCTTCAACCCACACACCAACTTCTCCCAAGTCCTTCCCCCTCTCCAGAACGTAAGGCAAATAAAACAATGAAAAATAAAATAAAGCCACCAGTTTATTTAGAGAAATCTTTTCTTTAATTGTCAGTCTGGAACGCTGTGGTGGAAGCAGACTCAGCCCAGAGAGGACAGAGGGATGGAAGCTGCAGCCAGGCCCAGGAGATGTCACATAGCAAAGAGGATGAGGAATGCCACCATCAAACAGAAGAGCCCCATGGCCTCGGAGAGGGCAAAGCCCAGGATGGCATAGGAGAAGAGCTGCTGCTTGAGAGATGGATTCCTGCATGTGGGACACGGGGGGGAACCAAAGAGAGAAGGAACAGGGGGTGGGAAAGGGATCCACACTGAGAAAAACAACCCAAGCCGAGTCAGATCACAGCAAACCAGGAGAACGTCACATAAATCTTGGATTTGCAGGGCCTGAAGGGGCTTCAGGGAAGCTGGGGAGGGGGTTTCACCAAAGGAAGTGGTGAGAGGAGATTGGGGAATGGACTGAAACTGGAGGAGGGGGGATTTAGGTTGGACATCAGGAAGAAATTCTTCCCTGTGAGGGTGGTGAGACACTGGAACAGGTTGCCCAGGGAAGCTGTGGCTGCCCCATCCCTGGCAGTGTTGAAGGGCAGGTTGGATGGGGCTTGGAGCAGCCTGGGCTGGTGGGAGGTGTCCCTGCCCATGCAGGGGGGTTGGATCTACATGATCATCTTTAAGGCCCCTTCCAACCCAAACCATCCCATGATTCTCTAAGACATGTGGAGCTGGACATTCCCAAGAAAGCTCCACTCCAGGTAGTGCTGGGGAGGATGGGACAACTCCAGGTGACAGCCCAGCTCACTCACCTGGCATAGCCAATGATCAAGCTGCCAAACACTGTCCCAATCCCTGCTCCAGCCCCTGCCACCCCCACGGTGGCAGCCCCAGCCCCGATGAACTTGGCAGCCGTGTCGATGTCCCGGGACACGGAGCTGGTCTGGAAACCACGGCGGGGCAGCTCGGGGGGGGACACTCCAGCAGGCTGGGGGGGACAGGAGGAACAACAAGGTCCTGGTGAGGGGACAGCAAAGGGCTACAGAGATGATGGGGAGAACTGGGAGGTCTGGGATGAGGAAAGGCTGAGGGACTGGGGGGCTTTGCAGGCTGGGGAAGAGAGGGGAGGTCTTATCAATCCGTGGATGGGGGTCAGGATGGGGCCAGGATTCCTCCAGGATGGGGCCAGGATTCCTCCAGGATGGGGCCCAGTGACAGGACAAGAGGTCATGGGCACAAAATAGGGCAGAGGAAGTTCCAACTAAACAAACTTCTTCCCTGTGAGCGTGGCAGAGCACAGGGAACAGGCTGCCCAGGTGGAGGTCGTGGAGGCTCCATGTCTGGAGACTTCCCAAAGCCACCTGGATCCTGTGGGATCTGCTCTAGGGGATCCTGCTCTAGATGATCTCCAGAGGGCCCTTCCAACCCCAGACATTCTGTGATACTTTTAATCATCACTAGAAGAGTTTAATCAAATGTGATGACCATTTATGCTCTAATTGAGGCAGAGCAAGATCAGCCAAGCCCTCACGGATCTGGGCTAGGAGCTGTGTCTCCACACTAGCCATCCTCTTGCCACTTCCTCCTCCATCTCAGGAGGAACAACCCCATGTCCTGCAGAAATCCAGGAGCCCATTTCAGAATCCACCACCTGAGAGTCTCACCTGTAGAGTCTGAAGCTCAGGTCTGCTGAAAACTGAGGCTGAGACTGGCCTGGCCAGAGCCCGGGAGCAGCAGCGGAGCTGGGGGGAAACACAGCATGAATTCCTGGAGCTGGATGCACCCACACCAACCCTCAGGGAAGAGGAGTTGTTTTATGAAAAAACAGTCTCAAGAGTCTTTTTTTCAAACCCCCCAAGAATGGAAGCAAGACTCAAAAGCAGAGGCACATGGAGGTTACTTCTATTCCAGCCAGTTGGATCCAGCCCACGAGCAGCAGCCCCACACACCCCCCAGGGCAGCACAGGAGTCAGAGCTTCTAACCAGCTCAGTCCTTGCTCCAAAGTCCAGGCACTTTCTTCCCAATTCATGCCATAAAAGAAAAGGGGTGACTGAGGATCCCTGGGCCAACCAGCCAGCTGAGCTGCAGAGAAGCCCTTGGGGCTGCAGCTCCTTGCACATCTCCCAAGATGGTGGGATCACTCTCCGGTCACCAGAGGTGACCTTGTTTTCCCTCTGTGTTAAACCCCCAGCCAAACAAACCCCACGGGATCCCCCCCTCAGCTGAGGGTGCCCCAGCCACTCTTTTAACCCAAGCACCACCAAGACTGGCTCCACAATCCTGCATCCCCACTATTATTACACCCCTCAGGAAGCCAACAGAACCAAAGCTGCCTCACCAGAGCTGGGGAGCTGAGGAGACCCACGGGAGCCTGCATCTTGATTCACCTGCTGCAAGGAAAAAAAACAAGAAACAGCGGGGAAAACACTGAGAAAATGCAAATCCCAACACTTTCTCCCACCACCCAACACTCCCCCCCTCCCTGGGGCTCACACCAC